AAGCTGGAAGTAGCTTGGCGCCTGGGGCTCAGCTGTAATCCCAGCTACTCAGGCTGAGAGCTGAGGATCACATTTCAAAGCCAGCACAGCCAGGAAAGTCTGTGAAACTCTTGATCTCCAATAAACCATCAAAAAACCAGAAGTGGCTCAAGTGGTGGAGCGCCCACCTTGAGCACAGAGAGGCTCAGGGGCAGAGCCCAAGCCCTGAGTTCAAGTTTCAGGACCTGGAAAAAAAGAAACTGACGATGGAAGAGTCAGTTGGTAATAGTTAGAACACAGCCTGTTACGACTGCACTTTGCCATGTGAGTGCAAGCCTGTCTTTCCTGTGTAACACTGGAGTCTAGTACAGTTGTTAGGAGTACAGAATAACCCCAAAAGCCTGGACATGCAACTGTGGCTCATCTGTGCCAACCTTGAGCACAAAAGCTCAGAGGCAGCACCCAGGCCCTGAGTACAGGCACCAGAAAACATGTGTGTATATATACATACACACACACACATATATATATACATACATATACATACACACATATGTATATATACACACACATATGTATATACATGAGTGTGTAAATAAGCAGGCTGGGCTTGTGGCTGAAGTGATAGTGTGCCAGCCTGTGATGCAAAGCCTTTCTGCACACACTCGCACGTGCACGCACGTGTGTGTGCAGATGCTCACATGCATGCATGCTTTGTTGCACTCACAGGTCCTGGCAGGAGGCAGCCACACTGACTGAGCCGTGCTGGGGTGGGGGTGGGCGTGGGGGTACCGGTCTGCACCGCCCGTTCGAGCACGGGCAGATCCAGGAAGCCTCTTGGTTCCCAAGCAGGATGCCCTTGGCTCTTGAGGTTTGAGGTGAGGCCAGCCCAGGGTGCTCACAACCTCTCCCCTTGCAGAGCAGCGAGTAGAGGATGTGCGACTCATCCGGGAGCAGCACCCCACCAAGATCCCGGTGAGTGACCCCTGCCCGCCGGCCCAAGCCGGGGTCCTCAGCACCCGTCAGACAGCAGCGCCGACAGCTGCTTGCCTGGGAGCTTTCGGCCTTCCGCCAGTCACATTAGTCATTTGTATCGTTACTATAAAGGTGACGTACAGTGGGGTTACACAAGTCAGGAAAAGAATCATTTCTTTTTGGACAATGTCACCCCTTCAGGTTGATGTTTTTCCTTTTGTAGTGCTAGGCGTTGACTTTGAGGCCCTGAGAATACCAAGCCTGTGAGCCGCCCCCAGCCCGCCTTGGTATTGGGGTTTAAAACCAGGGATTCCACTTGCTTGCCCAGTTTGTGCTCTACCACTTGCGCCTGCCACCTCGCAGCCTATTTTGGACTTTCCTCCTCGATCTCAGCCTCCCCAGAGCCTGGTGGTGGAACTCACCTGACTCCTGTCATCTTGGTCCCCAGCCATGTTTGTCACGTCAGGTGGCAAGGCGTGCCTCTCTCTGCGTGAGGTGTGAGCAGGTGACCTCTGCGGCTGGGCTTGCGTTCCAGACGCAGCTTCAGAGCTCCGTGGCTTGGGGCGTGTTGCCAGGCCGTGCTGGAGCAGCACCGCAGGCAGAGCGGTGAAGCCCACTGGGTCGAGTTAAAAATGCCACCAACGGGCTGGGAAGGTGGCTCAGTGGTAGAGTGCTTGCCTTGTATGCATGAGCCCCTGGGTTCGATTCCTCAGCACCACATAAGCAAAAAAAAGCCGGAAGTGGTGCTGTGGCTCAAGTGGTAGAGCACTAGCCTTGAGCTGAAGAGCTGAGGGCAGCACCCAGGCCCAGAATTCAGGCCCCACAACCAGACCCCCCCCCCAAAAAAAAAATGACACCAAAGCCACCCAAGGGTAGCTGGTGATAAACAGCCCACTATGTTGCAGGTCACTGAGAGGCGTCACCCCCAAGTCCTGTCAATGCTCTTGAGTTTTCTTTTCTTACTGGCTTCTCCAAATTAAGAGGAGAAGCAAGGCAGGGGGGCGGGGCGTGTGTGCTGCCGCAAGGTAGCACACGTGCTCTTTGCCTGCTCTGGTGTTGCACAATTTGTCCTCGTGTTGGGGTCAGCCGGCTCTGGCCCGAGAGAGCTTCCAGGACAGGGCTGCGCGCAGGGCGCTCCCTCCACTTGCTCCCAGCAAACCCACGCCCGCCACCGGCCTACTTGAACAGTAGTCTCTGCCCCTGCCCCGGTGGCACCTCTGCTGGAGCTTCATGCTCTTGTTCTACAAACGTGTCTGCCCTTCCCCACGCTCCTGACACTGACACAGCCGGAGAGAGGGCCAGGCCTGCCGGATGCCCTAGGGCAAAGGCCTGGCCACCAAGGAGCGGAGCCACGGCCTCTCACACGACCACGCTCCAGTTCTGTGACGTACCTCTCACAAGGGAAAGGACCAGGGAATTCTAGACAGCACCTCCAGATGTTTCTAAGGATGGCCAAGAGCGGCGGGTGCCAAAGCGAGCGCTCAGCCCCAACCTGTGGGTTCTCAGCAGGGCAGCTCCCAGGCTGGTCTCCTCCCTCACCCCAGCCCTGCCCGAGCAGGCCAGGCCAAGCCAAGTGCACGCCTGCCTCTCCGCGGACCCCATGCTTCCCGAGGAACGGGACGCTCTCCCTCACCACCGCCGGTGTCACACACCTGTAATGCCACCCGGAGGGGCAGGGCTGAGAGCTTGACGCTGAGCCCCTGAGTCGATATAACTTCATGGTCCCAAACTCAGACAGGGCCGCAGGATGTGGAGCGGCGTGGATGTGCCTGGTGGCGACTTTGTCACGTCACTTTGCAGGGGACAGGCCAAGCCCGAGTGTGGTCATTGTCCAGTAAGAGCCAGGTGCAGGCAGGTGGTGATGAGCTTGTCAGTGTGGCATGTCAGCGCAGTGCTTTAACCCTGCTCTGACTCCTCTAGGTGATAATAGAGCGGTACAAGGGTGAGAAGCAGCTGCCAGTCCTGGACAAAACCAAGTTCCTGGTGCCAGACCACGTCAACATGAGCGAGCTCATTAAGATCATCAGGTACCGGCCGCCGTCCCTGCTTCGAGGAATTCCTCCATTTGCCTTTGGTTCTGACAAAGCCCCTGCCAGCCTAGTGACCCTGTGAGCGTCCCACTGGGGCCCTGGCCCCTTCTAGTTCTTTCTCTTGAAAACCCTTCAAGTTACTCGTGCGCAGCCAAGCTGAGAGAAGGCAGACGCAGGCCTAGCTGGACAGCTCCCCCCACTCCACCCCCCCCACCCCCCCCCCTAGCTGGACAGCTCCCCCCACTCCACCCCCCCCACCCCCCGGCCAGGAGACACCTGTCACACTGCGCGCACGCAGCAGTGATTGTAGCCAGTCAGAAAATACCCCTCCTCACAAAGCCATAGGTGTCATGGACAAGGTCTGGGGCAAAGCAGGGGGGGGCGGGGGAAGAAGGCCGGTCCACATGTGCCTTGCTGACTGTCCGTGTGTCTGTCTTCCGACTGCTCCCCACAGAAGGCGGCTTCAGCTCAACGCCAACCAGGCTTTCTTCCTCCTGGTGAACGGACACAGCATGGTGAGTGTGTCCACGCCCATCTCAGAGGTGTATGAGAGCGAGAAGGACCAGGACGGGTTCCTGTACATGGTGTACGCCTCCCAGGAGACCTTTGGAGCCCTGCTGTCGGCGTGAGGCTGCCACAGCCCGTCCCAAGGATGAAAAGGGATATCCACATGCGATCGGCCAGTCCACCTGCACAGACCCTCGAAACGGCCCCACCGGGCTGTGAGGTTCTCCTGTATTTCAGCAGAAAACCTGAGTTCCGTGTGAGCGCTCTGCTTTGGAGAACCGTTATTTAACCTAGGCTTGTTTTGTTTTCAGATCTTAGAAGTTTAAAAATAAAATACTTTGCATCCCAAGTTGCCAATAAACCAGGCCTGAGCTCAAGTTATTTTAATGCTCCTTTTCTCCCCCAGTAGCTTGCAGCTCCAGCAGCAGCAGCCAGGCGGGGTTAGAGCCCACCACCTCTCCCCAGGTGTGTCCGCAGCCGCCTTCCTGAGGCTGGAGGCCCGCGGTCCGGTGGAACTCCCTGCTGCTCAGGCTTTGCCTGTGGGAACGGCCTCCTCCCTGGCCCAGGAGGGAGCGCTTAACTGCTGGGCGGAAAGCCATGGACCCAGCTTTTTTTTTTTTTTAATGTTAAGTGTGAGAACGTTACCAAAGTTTCTCACCTTTGTAAGGGCCGCTGAGTCCCAGTCCCAGTCTTCCTTTCAGGTATGTCTGGAGGAGCTACCTCCTGCTGCCAAGGGGCCTCGAGCCACCTGAACCCCCCCCTCCCCAGCAGCACGGGACGCCCAGTGTGTGTTACAGTATGTATATTCTCAGCCTGTTCTGTTAGCTTGTGTATGTTGTATCAGATTCTTGTATCTACTGTGTCATCAGTACAATTCCTATAATACTGCTTAAAAACCAGCCATGCCCATGGCCACCCTTAAACACTTCCCCATTTAATGCTCTAAGTGAATAAAGGCATTACTAAAACTGCATGGAAGCTGCTTCATGGGACCCGCCAGAAGCTTGGGAAGGTCAGTGGAGGGAACAGAACACCCAAGGCCCCAGAGGCCCTGACTCACACCAGGTCTCACTTTGACAAGCTAGACCTCAAGAGAACTGAGCACCGTGGGAACAGACACCTGCTAACCCGGTGCTAGCCAGCCAGCCAGCGGTGCACCAGGGACGTCGGCAAAGGCCCAGTGTACATGGAGCTCTGGGGCCGTACAGGGAGTGGCACTGCTGGGTCTAGGACACCCACTTGCGGAGGACGCGGTCCCTGTTTTTACACGCACACCAGGCTGTTTGCTTCCCAGAAGGGTGGGTGGGGCTGTGCCCCCAGTTCTGTGGGGACACTGGCCTGGGCAGGTGAGTGGCTGCAGACCAAGCCGGGAGCAGCGCGGCGGTCTCTTGCTGGCCACGGGACGGAGGCGGCTCCAGCACCTATAAAGTCCAAACACTGAGACTTTCTGGAATTTTTTATTTTCAGTACATTAAATTTACTCATAAAAACATTCTAAAAATGTACAATTTTTCCTTTTTAACAAAGTATAATAAAACATAAAAACCCCAAAAACAGAATACTTGACATTTACAATTCAAAATCAAATTAGAATATTAAATATTTACAAAACTATATCTTTTAAAAATATTTATAAAGTTACATGCAATTTTGTAGAATTGACAAAAGAATGGCTCAAAAATGGGAGGATTTTCCTTCATTCCTAAAAACAAATGTCCAGTAGAAGCTGGGAAGGTGTTCGGTCTCGGTACCGAAGCCTCACCTGGTGTGCGCACAGACTGGCCCGGCTCCCCAGGGACTCCCCCGGGCCCTCGCGAGGCCCGGGTTAGCAGACAGCGACCTGGACCTTTGGCCTCCACCAGCACAGTATGTGGTGTTCTAAAATATTGCAAGTGTTGATGAAAGATGCCCACTTCCGCTCGGACCTTGGGACTGCAACAGTAAAGCCTGTGCAGGCCCGAGGCTCTCCCAGCCCCGTGGTCTGTCCTTCGGGAGCGGGGAATGGACAGCCCTGCCCTGCCCAGCTTCCACAGGGCCATCCTCGGGGAGGCTCGGGGGAGCCTTTAAGACTTCAGCAGGTAATGCCGCCAGTAGCCAGGGTGTACAACCAGCGTGGCACCAGACCAGACACCAGAAAGCAGGAAGAGTGGCCCGGAAGCCTGGGGTCACCAGGGTGCAAGAGGGCCGTGCTCGCGGACGCGTGGCAGCACGCACAGCCCTCCCTCGAAGGTCCTGCCGCTGGCACAGCCCCGGCCGCCGGCGTGCGGTGCCAGCCGGAACCTTCTCAGGACTCCGTTACCCGCCGACGCCAGCCATCCCCGGGGTGCACAGACCATGCTGGCTTTCTAACACCCAGTCATTATCTGCGCGTAGGAAAGTCTTCTATTCACTTTAGGTGCCAGCTCTACTTCCTCAGTGCTCTTCAGCAGTGGGGAGTTTTAGCCTGAAATACTTCCCAATCTTCAATATTACCATGGAATAAAAATGAGAAAATAAGGTAAATTGAAAAAAGAAAGCAAAACAGCTGTTTTATCCCAACACTGTGTATCTACTCCCCACACCCCGGCAGAGAGCGAGGCCAGCCAGCAACACAGCCGGCTCCGAGGAGCCGGCCCGCCCGCAGAGCGCGGTGAAGCTGAGCGATCTCAAAGACATCGTGATGTTAACCAGGGACGGGGTCTCCCGCCGAGGGCGCATGCTCTCCTCTCCCAGCCCGCGGACTCCAACCGCTTCTGGAGAGAAATCCATCAGGCAGAGACAATAAATACTGCTAGCGCATCTCCCCAAGTCCCAGCACGGAGCGCAAAGGGGCGGTGTCCAGGGCGCCGTGCCAGGTCCTGTGCAGGTGGACCTTCCTAGTGTTGTCCGATTCTCCGCAGCCTCGCGGGCCGGCGCCACACGGGCGCTTCCACGGACTCGGAAGGACCAGACACAGGACCCGGACCTCCACTCTGAGTGGCAGACTGCAAATGGAAGTTTCTGTGGGAAATCGTTGCGGTGTTTGCGGTTAACTTTTAACATCAAAACAGTAAAGGGGTAACAACAGACACTTCATCCCTCTTTGCTGACCACTAAGACAAAAAACTTAAATAGGATCATTTTTCTTCTGCTATGAGACAGTTTCCAACAATTTCACTGTGTTGAAATAGGATTTATTTAAAATATTTCTTTGTTTTAAAAAAACCAAAAAATTTAAAAGTTTGGCTTTCAGCACATATCCAGGCCACTGTAACGGCCTTCAGAAATAGTAAAATCGTAAACATCAATAAACACTTGAAGTCTTCCTCATTAACAACACCACAAGCTCCAGTCTGGGACTCTTTAAGGCAAAGTAGTGTCAGTCAGGTCCTGTCCGGCGTGCTGTAGTGTTTGGAAGGTAGAGGTCCGCGGCCCAGCCTTCAGAACCGCGTGGAGCACTGTGCCAGTAACAGAGAATACAGGGCTGTCAATTCTGCATTGCATAGAAATAAAACGACTAAAAGAATACTATAAAACTCTACTAAAAGCCTTCATAAAAAAATGTAACAACGTTCTGCTTTAGTTAGTGCACCACACGCCTTCTAGGGCTTTCTTTTGACTCACACCAATTTGGCATGCCGCTGATTGTCCGGTTTGAAGAATGGTCTGGAAGCTGCAGTGTTCCTCTCTGTACATATGCCACTGGAGAATTGCCGGCAGACCTCACCCATCCGTGTTTTAACAACGAAGGCTTTAGCATTTTAGGTAACGTTATTGAGGAGAAGATTCCCTTTCATCTTGAAGACTGAAGTCCCTAAATTCTGAGCCAAAATGCTTCCATGCGGGCGGGTAAAGCAGGGACCCACAGGACTGTATTTCCTGCTGCGCTCAGGCCTGGGCTGCGCTGGCCGAGTGGCTTCTCTGAGTCTTATCTCTTCCTACTGAAGTTTTCTAGGCAATTTTTTAACGGAATTAACTATAAATACACAGCTTAATACAAAAGAAGTTGACAGGAGAAAGTTTCAAATCTTCTGCTTATAAATCACAGGACTGTATTACTGTTGAAATGTCTGTGCTGAGTGTGACTGTCAGCGGTGAGCGCTGGGCGGGGTCCACGGAGCCCCCGCGAGACACAACAACTCGCCAGCTTTCCTGACAACCAGTAGCATCCGTCACAGACAGCTCACAAAGCCAGACGCTGCCATGTTCTCCAGGGGTTGGTGTGTGGTGGACAGAACGGGTTTGGAGCCCCCAGTGGGCAGAAGAGGATGGTCTTTTGGACCCTTAGAAATGACGTTGTTGAGAGTGAACTATTCCTATTTATTATTGTAGGGTTTATTATTTATTTTCAGGAGAAAAAAATTGAAAGCCTGGAACTGCTACAAGTGCTTGAAGAAGGGAAGGGCGTACTAACAGCTCTGCTGTGCGCTCAGTGGAGCGGCCTGCTGGTGGTGACGCCGAGTCGAGCCGAGCCGAGTGGCGGGACCTGGCCCTGACCGCGCAGACGGCTGCTGCCAGGTACATTCCTCTGTAGTGCAATCCTTAGAATCCCAGAGATTAGTGCCTCATCGCTTTAGGAGAAAAACAAAACAGACAGACAGACATCTTCCCTCGCCCGGGCTGCGGAGGCCCCGGGGCCCGCCTGGGCAGCTCCGACCTCGCATCTCCATTCAGGTGGCGTAGCTGCCCTGGAGTTGAGTGTGAGCCTAGAAGGAGCAGCAAGGCGATGCTCTTCGGAGGCCTCGCGGCGGCTCCCTGGCCGGGGAGAGGCCCCAGCAAGTCCTGACACAAGCTCCAATCTAGGATTTTGGCAATAAGATTGAGTTTGATGCACTTCTACGCTAGATTTTCTATCCAGTCTAGTAAAATAAAGCACCTTTGGATTAAAAGTATTAAGCTCAACAGCAACTAGACTTCTCAGTTCTGAATTTACTTTTCCTTAGGTCTCCATGGCTTAATAGTGTTCTTTTGCCAGAGAAAAACATCAGTCTGTGGAGTCCAGGCTCTCTGCCGGAGGAGCATATTTCAACCTAAAAGTACCTGGAGAGAGGGAGGGAGAGGTCAAGTTTGCATCGCTGCAGACACACCGCCGACCAGCCCGCCCCAGCCATCCTCGCCACCTGCCCATTACCCACGGGACACCGTGCCCAGGTTTACAAGACCTGCCGGGGGGGGGGCGGGGGGGGGCAAGAGAGGACGTTGCCAGCCTCCTTCAAGCTCCAAAGGCTCCTGCTCTGGGCTTGAGCTCTGTACCTCTCACTGGGGAGAGGGTGCGAGCCTGGCCAGTATGAGGGCCTCAGGAGCTGGAGCCTGGCTCTAAGAAGGAAGAAGCCCCGTGAAGAGCCACGTACTCCCCTCCCCGGCCCTCCCCACGCCCAGCTTCTACCAGGCACAAGAAGGGGCTGAGATCAACCTTCCCCCATCTAGTTTTTCTAAAAGAATAAAGCTGGTGTCAGGGATGTAGCGGGCACCCAGGGGCAGAAGTGAGCAGAGGACACAAGAGGCCACTGCCAGCCAGCCAGGCGGGAGGCAGCCAGGTGGGAGGCTCATGCGGCACAAGGAGCGGCCGACAGCAGAGGGCACCATGGGTGAGGGCGGGAACGGCTCCTGCGGGCTGCTCTAGCTCCAGGCTCCACGCAGTCACAAGGCCACCCAGAGCCGGCACAGCGCCTCCTGGCACGGGTGCCGGGAGGATCATTTTGGTTCAAAGAACATTTGAAAAGTTACTTATTGCTGGGCACCCGTAGCTCACAGCTACTCAGGAGGCTGAGATCTGAGGATCACGGTTCAAAGCCAGCCCAGGCAGGAAAGTCCACGAGACTCTTATCTCCAATAAACTACTCAAAACGGGAAGTGGTGCTGTGGCTCAAGTGGTAGAGCGCTAGCTTTGAGCACAAAGAGGCTCAGGGACAGCAAGCAGACCCCAAGTCCTGAGTTCAAACCCCAGGACTGGCCCAAAAAATCCCCCAAACCCCAAGTTCTTTATTTTCATCGACCTAAGTGCCTGCGTGCATCTCCCCCGTGGGCGCCCTGCCCGGGCACGCGGGGCGCCGGGCACTGCAGCCTCACCTTGCCGGTTGAAGTCCATGGACGGCTGCTTGCAGTCCTGGGCACGGTGGCCCGTGGCCCCGCAATTGTAACAAGACAGGTTCCCGCTCTTCTTGTGGCTGGAGCCGTTGCTACTGCCCACCAGTCCCTGGCTTTGGTAGAGCCCCGCAGTCCCAGCCATCAAGTTCTGCACGGGCGGCACGGCAAAGGCGGACTGCCCGCCCAGCACGGGCTCCGGGGCCACGCTGCCGCCATAGGGGGCGTGCACCACGGGGAAGCTGGACCCGCCGTACTGCTGGGCACCCACGTAGCCGTTGCCGCACACGGGGCTGAAGGGCAGGAAGGGGAAGGTGAGCACGGACGGCCCCGAGAACGGGTGCTGGAAGTAGCTGGCGTAGCTGACAGTCAGGCCGCCGGAGCCGCAGCTACCGCTGCACCCACAGGACGTGCACACGATGCAGCCGGGCGGGGGGGGCGCGGGGGGCGCGGGGGGCTGCTGATGGTGGTGGTGGTGGTGGTGGTGGCTCTGGCTGGAGGCAGGAATGTTTCCCGTGGAGCCGCCGCCGCCACCGCCGCCGCCGCCGTAGAACGTGTTCTCAGGAACCGAGGAGAGCGCCGGGCTGGAGCTGGGCGCCGGGCAGCTGGGCAGCGTGGCCAGGCTGGCGAAGGACGTGGAGGGGTGGCTGCTGGGGGAGGCAGTGTTGCTGCTGGCGCAGAAGCTGCCCTGCAGGGGCCCCACGGGCACACTGCTCACGGCGGAGAAGGCAACTTTGGTGTTGGCTGTGTACAGAGCAGTCCGGGGGTTGATCATTGCGGGCGCCACGCTGATCTGCGCGCTGTTGGGGCAGGAGGTCTGCCCCGCGGCGGGCTCAGCGGGGACGGACGGCGACAGCAGCAGCTTGATGGGCGGCCGGGACACGTGCAGGACGGCACTTGGCGCGCCCGCCGCGGCCGAGCTGGTCTCCGCCGCCAGGGCTGGCTGCGGCACGGTCTTCAGCACCCTGTGCAGTGTGGCGGCAGGCTCCACTTTGGCCCGAGGACCAAAGGAGACCGTGGGAGACACCGGGCTGTTCTCCGCAAGTCCCGAGAGGACCTGCACGGGTGGATGGGGCGCTGCGGGGGGCAGGGCATCCAGGGCTGCGCTGCTGAAGCTCTTGTCCACTTTTGCACCACTCCGGGGGCCGGGCCCCTTGCTCCGATCTTCCAAGGACAGAAGCGAGTGCACTGAAGACGAGAGGAGCTTCACGTCGGTGCTGCCTCTGTCTGCCTTGTGCACGGAGCTCAGCATCCGAACGGGCGCCAGGGGTGTGGCTGTGGGCATTAGCTGGGGGGGCAGGGGGTGGTGGCCCGCGGGGCCAGAGCTGGCCTCGTTCTGCACGGGCAGGACCTGGGCCGTGGGTCTGGCGGAATTGGAGGGGAAGTGACTCAACAGCACCACGGGCTTCTCCTTGTCGGCGCCTTCGGCCTGCACGTCCGCACCTGGGGGGACAGAGCAGAGCATCGGCATGGGGCTGCCTGGGCCGGGGCGCGGCCCCACGGGCCCCGGGGACTTACGTCTGTCGCTCTCCTCAGCGCTGTCAGAGCTCTCCTCACGCGCCTGCGCACCCATGGGGCTGGAGGAGGAGCTGGAGTACTCGGAGGAGCTGCCTTCGCGGGGCATTTGGCGAGGCGGGGGCTCCACCTCCACCCGAAGCTCTGCAGACAGAAAACATAGTCAGCTCCGGCGCTGGCACCCCGTGCACTCCGCCCCGGTGCCCTGGACTCCTTAAGCACTCAGAGCAGATGCCGGTTTCTCTCTGAGTTCTGCTGAACAGAATTCTCCCTTCCTGTGAGAGAGGAAAAGGCCCTGGGAGCTTGGGGCCCTGAGCAAGAAGAGAAGCCAGAGTGCGTGAAGAAGGGCTGAGGATGAGCAGCCTCCTCCTGACCATGTCCGGCTCACACTCAGCACCAGAGCTCAGGATGGACGTCTTCTGCCTAAAGAACTGTGGGCGGATCTCCAGTGTCCAGCATCCGGCTCCTGTCTACTTTCCTTGTCTAGATCATCCCAGTCACAATCAAGAACACCGGACACGGGAGAAAGGGAACCGTACAACCCACGGGTGGGTGGCCACAGCTAGCAAGTGGGAACAGACGACACTGTACGAATGCAAATGTACTCAGACCTGACTCGTGTTAATGCAAGCCCTCTGTACATCGCCTCTGTAGTAACGACGAAGGAAATGAAAAAGAAAACATCCACGGGGATCAGAGCGTGTACGTGGGAACGAGAGTGCTTAGAGGCCTGGCTGGGGCTGTGCAGCGGGCAGGCTGTGGGCCGCACCTGCTGTGTGGTTGCTGCGCGCCGGCTGAACGGGCCCCACGTGGCTGGTCGGGGGAACGCGTGCCACGCCACTGCTGGAGACCAAGGGCGGGGCTGCGGAGCCCAGGCACCGCCTCTCCGACTTCTCCCTAGGAGACAGAAAGCAGACAGGAGCCAGTGCGCTCTCCCTATCCACCACTGCAGGGGCCCCGCCGCGGAGCCGCCGCCTCCTCCAGGCCTGAACCACCCCACCAGGCAGGAGCATGTATTTTGCCAGCTACTGTATACTTACTTTTCCAGCTCCAGTTGAGTCTTGAGTTTTTTCTTCGCTCCCATGGTGAGGGACTCAAATTTATTCAAATCTTCCTCAGTAAGGCTCAGAAACTTATAGAGGAGAAACAAATCACAAAATTATAGAAACACTTAGGGTGCTGGAAACAACCTGGGTGAATTGGATGCTGCGGCCCTGGAGCCACCTTTCCTCCGATCCCGTTCTGGCAGTGATGGCAACTCTTGGTTAGGCTGCCAGGGATCCAGAGGAGCAAACGCCATCCAGGAGGGACTGGACTGGCCCTCAGGCCGGATCCAAGCCACCAGGGGTGCCCTGGCTCTCCCATCACCAGAGGCCTGTTTTGTTACCCAGCCATTAGAAAACTGTGGCCTCAGCTAGCAAAATAATCCGTTCACTAAATCTGTTCAATCATACACAAAGGACATCTGTATACACTACAAACTTTTTTTGTAATTGGTCATGGGGCCTGAACTCTGGGCCTGGGCGCTGTCCCTCAGCTCTTCAGCTCAAGGCTAGCGCTCTACCACTTGAGCCACAGTGCCACTTCCAGCTTTTTCTGCTTATGTGGTGCTGGGGAATCGAACCCAGGGCCTCATGCATGCAAGGCAAGCGCTCTACCACTGAGCCACCTTCCCAGCCCCCAAAACTTCATTATTCTGTAAAAAAAAACAAAAACAAAAAACCCAGCCATTATGCCCCCTGCCCAGCAGGGGGAGTCCGGAATTCAAATACCCCATATAAATGTAATTAAATCAGTGACATCAAGACTGAAAACATTTCATAATTTTAACTGTGAAACAATCCTTGCCAGGCAAAGTCTTCCTAGTAAAAGGTCAGGGAAGGCTAGAAACATCTGTCCAGTCTTCTTAAATACAGCCCAGAATGGAGCCTGCCTCCTGGCCCCACCACGGCTGGGCCCAGGGCGCTCTTCGTGTGGAAAGCGTGGACAGCGTGGACAGTGGTGGGGTTCTCAAGTCACAGATTCCCAACCTGCCAAGACCTGAGCCACCCAGAAAAGCCATGTAACTGCCTCAGCGGCAGGCGGCCTCCACGATCAAACCAAATCCTGCAAACCACAGGCTGTGACCGCCACCTCAGCCCCCATCCCTCCTCTCTGGGAAGCCCACAGACCCGCTCCCTCCTCCCTGGGAAGCCCACAGACCCCCTCCCTCCTCCCTGGGAAGCCCACAGAGCCCCTCCCGCCCCTTCCAGGAATGAGGTCAGGAGACAGGCCGGCTTTCCAGCGCTGTGTGGCTCTCAGCAGGCAACTCACCTTCTCCATGGTGAGCTGTTTAAAGACGGGGTAATACTTGTGCAAACGCAGCTTCCTCAGCCAGTCTAATATTCCATTTTGCTCCTGGGGCTGTGGGGCCTGCAGACTGGGCGGCATCAGGATGGCGGGTGAGCTGTCCACCTGGGCCCGGTAGGCCAGCGCTGAGCCCGCGCCCCCGGCATGGGAGCAGTGGGGCAAGGCGGCGGCCACGCCGGCCGCGTGCTGCAGGTGGTGCTGAGCACCGCTCTGCGAGGACGGGATGCCGGCCACTCCACACACAGGCCTGCGGGACAGGGGACGGTTTTCAAAGCTGCCAACTGCATCGGGACCTGCCAGCTCCTACGCCTGGCCAGATGCCTGTCTTCAGCTCATCACATTCACACTTGGAAATCACCAGGGCCCCGTCGCTGTCCCGCCCGACACAGAGCCCTCCTCCAAGGACACTTCCCACAGGCACGCACGTTTACCCACGGGCCCACAGCGCACACCTGCGTGTGCCCGGCACAGGGTCACCAGGCATGTGGCGACATGCCTGCTCCGTTGCTTCTATTTATCTGTTTATTCTTATTCTTGGTGCCAGTCCTGGACTTGAACTCAGGGCCTGAGTATTGTCCCTGAGCCTTTTCTCTCAAGGTTAGCGCTCTACCACTTGAGCCACAGCTCCGCGTTCAGCTTTTAGGAGTAATGTATTGGAGAAGGTCTCGCATGCTTTCCCCAGCAGGCAGGGTGGCGGGCATAAGCCATCAGTGCCCAGGACTTTGTTGCTTCTACATAAGAAGACAGTGCTGATAAATCACACGTGGGAAGTGACTACCGGGCACTAAAAGGGAGCCGTAAGTGTGGCAGTCCAGGGAACTGATTCCCCTCCTCTCCACAGCACCCAGGGTGCAGAGATAGACGGACAGCTAGGAGCAGCTGTCCACACAGGCAGAGAGCAGAAAGGTTTCTCACCTTCCAGACACACCCATCACGGCTCCTACTTTAGGAAGGGAGGGGTTGCCGGGGCCTGTGAATGAGAAAGCAAACATGGTGGCGATTCACAGACAGAAGACGGCTTATTCTTACGTCATCATTTCACAAACTTACTTGGACTTTGAAGCTGTTGGGTGGGAGATGAGGTGCTGAAAAATTTCTTAACATGGTCATTTTTTAATATGTGAGAAGGTAATGAAGCCAAGAATCTAAAAACAAACAAATGGTGTCACCAGCATTAAAATGACACGGACAAAAACCGGAAGATGAGTCCATCCACACGGCTTCCTCCCAGCCTCCCTCTGAGACGCCGCTGCTGCACAGCCCTCGCCACTCACGGCCCAACCGCTCAGGCACACAGAAGGTGCGCAGGCTCCGCCTCCCTCCCTCACCATCCCCACCCCCACCTCCACCCCCACCCCCCCCCACCCCCGTGCCGCTGGTCTGAGCCCGGAGGACCCGGCCTGGCCAGAGCCTTACCTACCTCAGGCCCGCTTCCAGACCCACATGGTTTCGCTCCACATAGAAGGAGTCTGAGCCAGCCAAGCAAGGAATGAGTTTGTCCACATTCTCTTCGGGGTAAAGCTGAGATAACTGAAGGAGAAGACAAAGGATGGCTGCCAGCTGCCAGCAGGGCCGGGAGGGAGGCCACCTCTGCCGGCAGCAGGGAGTCACCTTTCCCGCCCCTCGGAGGGGGTGGGGGCGGCAGAGGAACAGCGGGGCCAAGCAGAAGCTGCCGCTGGGGAATTCACACAGGGCCACCCTCCCCCCCCACACCTCCCAGGACAGAGCTCCCTTCCACGGAGGCAGAGAGGCCTCAGGTGGCTCGGGGGCTCTGTGGACAGGAGTGAGAATAACTGCTCCTAGCACCCAAAGACCCTCAGTTCCTGGGGGAGAGGCAGGGGCAACACTTGCCTGCCTGTGCCACTAGGCCCTGGGAGAAGCCCAGGAAGCGAGGGAGGTGGAGTCTGCATCTAGAACCCTCCCTTACCCCACTACGAGTCCAGCACTAGCAGCATGTACCCTCGGGAGGTGTCAAGAACTCCCGGCAGCACAGGATAGCCAAGATCTAAGTGAGAAGGCGGCCTTGGAAAGCCTCCAGTTCCCACCTCAACCCGAGGCCAGGCAGCAGCAGCCCACCAAGCAGCAGTGCCTGAAGTGGTAACCATGGCAACGAGGTCTGCTGGGACAGACCCAAGGCCCCACACGGTGCTGTCCCCGTCTAGTCTCCCGACATGGCTCCTACCCAGATTTGCAGAGCACACACAAAATAAGGTAGGATACTCATGAGACCCAGACTCGGAAGTAACCCAGGCTGCGGAACGGTTTCAGACCAGGACTTTAAAGCTCACACCTGTCATCCTAACTACTCAGAAGGCTGAGATCTGAGGATCACAGTTCAAAGCCAGCCTGGACAGGAATGTGCAGAAGACTCTAATCTCCAATGAACCACCAGAAAAACCTGAAGTGGCACTGTGGCTCAAAGTGGTGGAGTGCTTAATCTTGAGCAAAAAGAGCTCAGGGACAGTGCCCAGGATCTGAGTTCAAGCCACAGGACCAAAAAACAATTAATAAATAACAAAATCACCATAGGGTATATTCCAAGTGACCCAGCAAAAAAGGTGGGCAACCAAAATACATAATCAGGGGCGATTCCACACGCAGTGCGCACTGCAGCGGCCATCATCCAGGGCGAGTCCACACGCAGTGCGCTCTGCAGCGGCCATCATCCAGGGCGAGTCCACACGCAGTGCGCACTGCAGCGGCCATCATCCAGGGCGATTCCACAGCAGTGCGCTCTGCAGCGGCCATCATCCAGGGCGAGTCCACAAGCAGTGCGCACTGCAGAGGCCATCATCCAGGGTGAGTCCACACACAGTGCGCACTGCAGTGGCCATCATCCAGGGGCGAGTCCACACGCAGTGCGCACTGCAGCGGCCATCATCCAGGGGCGAGTCCACACGCAGTGCTCTCTGCAGCGGCCATCATCCAGGGGCGAGTCCACACGCAGTGCTCTCTGCAGTGGCCATGTGGAAGGGGGAGCAGGGAAAGGACCCCCAACCACCATGCAGGAGAGGTCAGCAGGGAGCCCCAGGGAAGAAGACTGAAGCTGAAGACAGAGCCAGCAGGTCAGCATCACCTCTGCGGCATGAACACCCAGACCCAAGGCTGGTCAGGGTCTATCAGCTCAGCGAGTTCAGAGCATGGCAAGGAGGAGGCACTACAGGAGACTCAATGCTCTCAACACAGGTCTGTACCCCCGGAGCTCCTCAGTGCCTGAAGGCCAAGGGGACAAGCACCCTGGCTGTGTAGCAGGAGCCACGCCACCCACCGAATGCTCTCCTGTGGGGCTGTGTCTCGGCTGGTTTTAACAGAGTCTTGCTTTGGAAGCAAGACCTTGCAATCTTCTTGCCTCTTGAATGCTGGTATTATAGGCATGCAGCACCATGCCTGCCTGGGCTCGGTTTCAGAATGAAACACAGGATTGCCTAGAGACACCTTCGATGTGCACATACCCCATCACCACAGGAGAGCATAAAGGAGACGCATTACCTTGGCTGCAGCTGGGGCTCTGGCGGCTTGGGCCTATGCCCTTGAAGCAAGCACGATAACCGTGTTCACACACGGTGCACACGCACAGAGAGGCAAAGAGGTGTTTGTAGTGCTTTGTTCAAATGTTTTTGTTAACCCAGCTTAAAACGAGACAGGGAATCCGCTTTGTAAGTCAGCCACAGAGTGTTCAGGTTCGGTCTTAGGACCTGCACCTCGGACTCTGCCCAAGGAAACCTGGGCTGGAGAGTGGCAGCAGCAGCAGAAGGGGCTCTGTGCGGCCGGTGCTCCTCTGAACCTCTCAGCTGAAGAAGACGGGCGCACTGCCTCACATGCTGGCAGGCCGGCTCGGGCGGCCTTCCTCTGCAGCTCGCGCAACCTCTGGGGAACATGTGTCTTTTAATTGTGGTAAGTGTTTGATCACCTTACCTTTGAGATAAACTCAGTCACTTCTGAGGAAGATTTGGTTATTGACGTTACTGAAGAATCAGACCACAAGACCTTAAAAACAAATGAACAAGCCTTAAAGTCAGGATCCTCTGCTCCCGCGCGCATATCCAGGGCACTGCCCGCGAGCGTTTGTTTACACTGTGATGGCGAGTGTGAGCTTCCACCCTGCATGCCATGGGGAGTAGAAGGGCTCAGTCCTCCCCAGCTCCTCCTGACTGAAGTAACTGGCCAAAGTATTCCCGGGTGGTCCAAGCGTGCTCCTCAAGTTCTGGAAAAATCGCCTGCATTGACTCCCTGCAAGTGCCAGGCACCAGCCCTTCACAGAGGCAAGGGTCCACGCTGCCTCCCACAGTGGCAAACGCATCCAGACCCAGCGCTTAGGTCGTAGGTGGGTGGGAGGGAGGCGCCTAGTCTGGCAGGGAAAGCGGAGCAGAGGGCGGGGCGGGCAGAGGGCGGGGCCGGCGGGGAGGGCTGGCAGCTCTGGTAGTTGGTGGCCGGAGGCCTTCTGAGAGCACTGGACCCGTGACCCCTTCCAGCCTGCGCATCTCTGCCTGCTGTGCTGTGGCCACAGCCTGGGTGTGGGCCACTTCTGCACCCTGGAAGGGCTTTCTTTGCACGCAGTAATGAGGACAGGGAGGTGGCCAATTGGGAGAAACACGAAATTACAAACTCTGCCTAAATTCCAGAAGCCATTGGTGACTTTCAGGTCAGGAAATAAAATGACCAAATAGGTTTCATTTTCCAAAGTGGAGACAGAACTTCCCAGTTGGATGGGGCTGGGAAGGTGGCTCAGTGGTAGAGCGCTTGCCTTGCATGCCTGAGGCCCTGGGTTCAATTCCCCAGAACCACATAAGCAAAGAGAAAAAGCCGAAAGTGGCTCTGTGGCTCAAGTGGTAGAGCGCTAGCCTTGAGCTGAAGAGCTGAGGGACAGCGCCCAGGCCCAGAGTTCAAGCCCCACGACCGGACCCCCCCTCCCTCCCAGTGGGAGCAGACCCCTGCCCGAGCCCAGCCGCACGCACGCACGCACGCACACACACACACACACACACATGCGAGCCAGGAGCACAGCGGCAGGGAGGACCGCAGGACCGCCAAGCCTGATGGCTCCCGGCCCAACGCGACGCCAGCGGCTGAGGGCCCCTGCGGGACCTCGAGGGCAGGGAGGCCTGAACCAGGCATCCTGCAGGGCGGCACACCAGAGTCCCCTCTTTGCAGCTGAAGTCTGCTGCCCCTCAGGGGGACAGGCCATCAAAGAGGGTGGCCCCACAAGGAGAGGCTTACCATGTGGGGTCCACCTGCCCTGGCTATCCGTATTGGGTGGTCAATACCAGCTGCACTGACTGTCAGCACCATGACTGTCACAGGCACACCAACAGGTGGCAGAGCAAATCACAATCACAGCGCCGTTCCCGCAGAGCAGCTGAGGCCTGAGGGGCCAGCTCACACCTCCACCCCACACGGAAAGCAAAATGCACACCGACACACGCTCGGCGCGCTCACACAGTCTGGGTCCCCTGGGCCGCTTCCACGAGGCTCTCACTCCCTCGGGACGCCGCAGTGCCTGGCATCACCAACAGCCAGCTGGTGGGGGGCAGGGAGCCGAGGACCCCAGCCACCGCCCGGGGCAAGGGAAGTGGACACCACCTAAAGGAACAGGGCAGCCAGGAGGAGGCCCCAACCTGCCTGGTCCAGAGTACCGACAAAGGCGGGGCTGTAGCTCAGTGGCAAAACTGGCCTAGTAAGTACAGAAATCTGGAAGTGTGCCTGCCGATCAGAGCCTTGAGCAAAAGAGCCTAGGGACAGCAGGTCCTGCGTTCAAATCCCGAGACAGACAAAATAAATGAAATAAACCCACAGTAGACGAAAATGTTCAGGAAGAATGATTTTAACGAGCAGCTGTTGTGTGGCTCCTTCTGTGTGATACAACTTTAGTCACTACAGGTTCTCAGAAACTGGAGCCCTTGTGTTTCACCTCGTCCATCTCACTGTAGTAAAATGTCTTCTGGAAAGTTCTCACAGAAGCCAGGCACGGATGGCTCACACCTGTAATCCTAGCTATCAGGAAGCTGAGAGCTGAGGGTCATGGTTCAAAGCCAGCCCGGGCAGCAAAGTCTGTGAGGTCTTACCTTGAATTTAACCACCAGAAAACAGGAAGTGAAGCTGTGGCTCAAAGCTGAAGAGTGCTAGCCTTAAGCAGAAAAGCTCAGGGATAGCGCCCAAGCCCTGAGTTCGAGCCCCACAACTGATTAAAAAAGAAAAAAAGTAAAGTTTTACCAGGAGCAAGGCATCGATGGCTCACACCTGTAGTCCTAGTTACTCGGGAGGCTGAGATCTAAGGGTAGAGTTTCAAAGCCAGCCCGGTTGGGAAAGTCTGCATTTGGGGGGGAGGGGGGCCCGCAGCTTTTTCTGTTTATGTGATACTGAGGAATCGAACCCAGGACTACATGCACACTAGGCAAGCACTCTATCATTAAGCCACATTCCCAGCCCCATGAAATTCTTACCTCCTAAAATTAGCTAAGCCTAAAGCTGGAAATGATGCTATGGCTCAAGTGATAAGAGTGCTAGCCTTGAGCAAAAAAAGTTCAGGGACAGTGCTCAGGCCTTGAGTTCAAGCCCCAGGACTTGAAAAAAAAATTTTTTTTTTTTTTTTTACCAGGAAAAGCTGGTAAAATGTAGCCATCTCCATGCACATAGTTGCAGACTACTTTTACTAAAAAATGTTCTATCATGTATTTTCCTGCACATGATATGGGCTCCTCAGGGACTAGGAACAATCCTGATTCCCGTGACACAAAACTAAGCTACACTGCTCTGCCAGGTACCGTGGCTCACACCTGCAATCTCAGCTTCTCAGGAGGCTGAGGTCTGGGGACTGCAGTTTGAAACCAGACTCGGCAGAAAAGTACATGCGATTCTTCATCTCTAATTAAACATCTCTCCCCCCACCAAAAAAAAAAAAAACCCCAGAAGCAAAGCTGTGGCTCAAGCAGTAGAGTGCTGGGCGTGAGCACAACAGCAAGCCCAGGCTTGAGGGACTTGAGCTCCAGCTCCAGGCAGTGCGCGTGTGTTTGTGCTCACTGCGGAACACTCCTTACCACACCTAGCTTATTTACTGAGATACCTCTATCTTCCCATCTGATTCCCACTGAACTGGTATTATAAGTATCTACTCCACCATAGACACCCCAAATTTCCTGGGGGCACCTTTGCGGTCGGGTTTACATTCTGAGCCTCCCCCCCACCACGCATGCACGCACGCACGCACGCACGCGCACGCATCTGGTCTTCTGGAATGAGGCCAACAGAGCCCTAGCTACCCTTGATGGAATTCCTGACTCTGCTGCCCGGAGCACTCTAGATGCAGGGAGAAGCCGGGTCCTGCACAGCTCATGCCCTGCAGTGACAGATCGCTAATGCGTCTACACGGTACATCTCACGCCTCGTGGCTCTGCGTGGCACGGAATGTGGTGATCTGTAACCAGCAGCTGAAACACACGTTGGTGTGAAGCGAGTTCTCTGCACAGGACAAAGGCTGCGTCCACCCAGTCCACTGGTGCCAGCCCTGGCTGCCGAGAAAGCTTGCTCGCCATGTGGCTTTTCCCTGAACCCTTTCCAGAGCTCCTCGGCCTGTTCTGGCCATGCCCACACCCAGGAGGTGTCAGTCCCGACCTCGCCGGACGGCACCCCACCGGACGCCCGCTCGGTAGACCCTAGCAGCCCCACACTCAACACAGGCAGGGCTTCACCAAGGCTCGGCTCTGGTCAGGTGATTACGTGTCCATCTGCAGAACAGGTCCCTGCCTGCCCAAGAGGAGGAAAAGCTTCGTGTCTTACCTCAAAGGAGCATTCAACACTCCTGTCATTTTTCGTATGCGACCATCCCTTCAGGTCTATCTTCTCAACACTCACTGCAAAAGCAAACACACAAAAACAGGACAAGATTATGGGAGCAAAGAGACCTCAAGGCACAGACATGATGCTCTGACAGGCATGCTCCGGGCGGTGTCTGGCCATCCAGCAGCAGCTCCGACCCTGGCCACCCCTGATGCTTGCGTGGGACGGCACGCCTGGCGTGGCCCGCAGCGGGCCTCGTGGGCCAGGGTCCACGAAGGCTGCCGACAGCTGCCCTCGGAAGCCTGTGAGCGGAGCACACGGCCACAGCTCCAGCAGGTGCCCTGGATACCTCAGCCTCTCACACCAGGGGCTCCAGACTGGTTGGGGTTTTGGTGCTGGTTCTGGGACTTGAACTCCGGGCCTAGGCACTGTCCCTTAGCTTTGTCACTTGAAGCTAGTGCTCTACCACTTGAGCCCCAGCTCCACTTCTTGCTTTTTTTTGATACTAAGGAGATGGAAGTCGCACTGACTTTGCTGCCCAGGCTGGCTTTGAAATGAGACCCTCAGATCTCAGCCTCTTGAGGAGCTAGGATTACAGGTGTGAGCACCGGCGCCTGGCTCAAGCACTACTTCTAAATCAGCCCCAATGTGAGCCTGTGACACAGCCCTGGTACCAGTGCCCCCAGCCCCCCTCAGCACATGTACGAGTGACCCAGGCAGGGACAGTGGCCTCTCACTCCTCACATGACCCACCGCGGCGGAGGAGGAAGGACTTGCCGTGCCCTGTGGGGACACACGGCCCTGCGCAGCACCAGAGCTGCCCACAGGCCCCGCTTCTCACCTGCTGTCCCCCAGTGCCTTCCAGACCGCCTCCATGGAGCCCCGGCTCCACGCGTACTCAGGAATTCTCCGTGAGTTACATGACCACAAGACTTATGGAAAAACAATCTTAGAACCCCAGTTAAGGCACTGACAGACCCTGTATCAATAGGATTCAAGTTTTTAAACAACAGTTCCCTGACTTGTTTGGTCACAGCCCCTTCATTCCTCTATCATGACTGAAAGCCTTAGACGGTAACAACCAATTCTGTGCATTTTATTTGTGTATTTTACTTTTGGCCAGTACTCGAACTCGAACTCCATGCTTCACATTCTTTTTTTTGTAGGTGGTGGGGCCTGAACTCTGGGCCTGGGCGCTGTCCCTCAGCTCTTCAGCTCAAGGCTAGCACTCTACTGCTTGAGCCACAGCGCCACTTCTGGTTTTCTAATGGTTTATTGAAGATCAGAGTCTCATGGACTTTCCTGCCCAGGCTGGCTTTGAACCGTGATCCTCAGATCTCAGCCTCCTGAGTAGCTAGGGTGACAGGTGTGACCCACCCGCGCCCAGCTTGCTTCACATTCTCACTCAGCTTTTTTGCTCAAGGTTAGTGCTCTGCCCCTTAAGCCACACCTCCAGCCCAGCTTTTTTCTGGTTAATAGAGAATGGAGTCATGGACTTTTTCCTTCCTGCACAGGCTGGCTTCAAATCATGATCCTCCTATCTCAGCCTCCTGAGTAGCTGGGATTTCAGGCTTGAGCCACATGTGCCTGGCTCCTAGTATCTTTGGGGACTTTCCTTTCTATGAATGCCTAAGAACAAGGAATTTGAAACCTTAAATCCCAATGTGGCTTTCAACAGCATCCTCATCAATCAAAGCAGGTTTCTTTAAGCCATATTTTTGCTTTCTGAGTCCATGACAGTGTCACTCTGGCTTCTGACATCTGGTGACATGGGCAGGTTAACTCCCACGCCAGGGAAGAGTGCAGGGAGACTCAATACTGAACACCCATGTGACACAACACCCCTGTGAAGCCGCCTCCACCAAACCCCCAACGCAGGGGCAAGGGTGCTGTCTGGCTGCGCACGGGACCGTGCCCCAAGACTGGCCCATGGGCCAGCGCTCTGCCTCACGTCTGCTCATCAGGAATCTGCATTCTCATTTTAACCCTGGTGTTAGTGTCGTGCGGCTCTAGCTGGCGGGGAGCATGTGCCCTCTTGCCTCTGCACCTGCGGGGATCAGCACCAGGCGCTGCGCTCCTCTGCCTCCCCGACAGCACAGCCATGGGCTCCAGTCCTTCTGGAGAGGCCTGGGGGGAGGGGGGCAAGGCCGTGGTGTCTGCCTGTCACCTTTCCCTCGTTTTCCTTCCTTTTCTCCTCCCTCCATTCCATTTTTCTCTCTCCCTCTCTTTTTCTTTTTTTAAAGACGGTCTCCCTGTGTTGCACAGGCTGGCCTGACTCCTAGACTCACACCATCCTCACATCTCAGCTTCCCACGAAGCCGGGCTGCGGCACGCAGCTCCTGGCTGCCCGCGTCGCTCAGCCCCCACCTCGCTGAGCAGCCCCACTCACGCCCCGCGGCGGCCTGAGGTCGCCCCATAAAGCAGAAACACAAGCAAAATGCCTAAACTAACAGCATGGGACGAATCTCAGCAAATGTTCAAAGCACGACATCTGGGCACATGGATGGTGCTGCAAATGGCACGGGTGGTCTGCGCAGTGGCTGAGCCCACCCTCCCCTGACAGCGGGCACTGTCCACGCACCCACTCCGCCCACGCGGCCACACAGACCTCAGGGCAGCCAGCACAATCCGCTGCTGGCCGAGGACCTGGCTTCCGAGCGGTGGTGAGGCATGCTGCCGGGGTCGTCTCAAAACGTCTCCAGCTGCCGTAAGTCCAGAAGGCCCAGCCACATGCAAGTCTTTTACTGTGGGTTGTGGGGCACACCTGCAGCCCTGGCGCGCAGGAGCGGAAGCAGGAGCGTCAGGAGCCAGACAGACAGACTCCCTTCCTTCTGTCCCGACTTGCCTCAACTCCTATTCACATTGTTTCACTTGATCAGTCTGAAAATCATCAACACAAAGCCCTGCCAGCAGTCACCCATGTTACTCGTGTGTGCCGCCACATGTTACTCCGTGTGGCCTCCAACTCATCCTCCTGTCTGGGCCTCCAGAGCGGCCGCTGGTGTGGCTGCCACGCGTGCCTCCCTAATGTTCCATGGAATCAACACACCACAGCCCCGATGACAGGAGCTGTGGAAGAGGGGGTAAGCGGGCCCCGCAAGCGAGGCAGACACTGTGGAAGCCCCTGTCCTGGAAGGCAGAAAGCCAGTGGGGCCAGCGCTAGCACCTGCCGCTTCTCAATGTTTGCCACCGCACAAGTGCTGGGCCTCCCATCTCCACAATGAAGTGGGGCGGGGGGGGGGGAGTCCAGAAATGAAGGGAAGCAGCCCTCTTCTCCCCTGACGGCCACGAAGCACGCAAGGGAGACGGTGGGGTCCGGCTGCGGCATGGAGAAACACCCGGCGGAAGGAGGTGGGGACAGTTCACGCACAGGAAGACTCACGCTGAACAGAAAGAGCCTGCAATGACCTGCAGTCAGGTGTACCCCAGAAAAATGAGTATGAGTGCCAAAGTGTGTGGGCGCCCCTGAGCAGGCCCGCAGCAGCCCCACTCCAGAGCAGAGCCGCAGCACCAAGGCAGGGGCAGGAGGGCCAGGGAAAGCGGAAAACAAGGGCAAAATGGACGCTGACCCATTATTCACAGTGGTCTGCGTGGCCTGTTCAAATGCCACCACTCACAATGGGCCAGCTTAAATCATGACTGAACATTTTTTCAAGAGTTCTATCTACCTACTAACGCTGCTTGAAACAATCCATTTTAAACATGCTAGAGCCCGAGTATTCCAAACATTGAGCCTAGCTGTTACGTACACCTGTTTGTTTTAGATCATGGGGGTCACAAACTATAGCTCTCAGATCACACCAGCAGCCTGAGCATTGAGGTTCTTTTCACATTTTCGTGGTGGTACGGAACTCGGGGCTTCGTGCTCGCTGCTCTGGCACAGCACCTCACTTGGTGCCCAGGCTGCTTCAGAAGCCTGGGCTGCGGACAGCATGAGGGCCTCAGACACCACGTCCATCCTCGCTCTGGAGATGGAGCTCACGCACTTGTTTTCCCAGTAGCCTCCGACCGCAGTCCTTTTGAATTCAGCCTCCCAAGTGGACAGGTTACAGATGTGTGTCACAGGCGCCAGGCCTGGCTCTTGGAACTCACAGTACTCCTGAGCCTTGGATTACAGGCAGACACCAGCCGTTTCTTACAGCGTTCACTGAGAGAAAAGCTCTTTTCTATCCAAGAAGATTGCTTCCGGTCAATCTTGTAAAAACTCTTTTTTGGAGAGGTTCCTTCTTTATCCAGGTCGGTTGGCCCTTGATACATTTTAGTTTCATCTTTTTCTTGTTGCACTTTTTCCTGTTTAACTTCAGGTGGAAGCTCCTGAAATTTTAGTTACATCCTGTTGATTACACCATAGCCAAGGAGACCAGGTTAGAGATAAAAAGAGAGTAGCCTGCCAGCATCGTGGCTGATGGCTCCCCCTGCCAACATGAACTGTGCCATGCCAGGGCTGTTCCAACACCTCCAACATCCTGGAGCCATTCTAACACACACACACACACACACACACACACACACACACGTATATACACATGCACACACGTACACACACACACACACATACATACACACATGCATACACACACGTGAAGGAAGGGGTGAGTGTCCAAAAAGAATTGTACTCATTACCTCCTGTGTGGCAGGGCAACCCCTTACATACCACTCCCTATTAACAATAAAATATATTTAAAATAATATGTCATATGAATATTAAACACACACATGCACCTCGTCTTTTTCAGAAACACTAAGGCCACTCTCAGGTCAGTGGAAACACGGGCAGCCTTACCTTCAGAACATAGGAAATGTTGCCTAGTGACGTCTTTAATACCAGACTTTGACAGATTTGCACTGTATGGGGAAGAGAACTCAGTAACAACTACTACTGAGACTTTTCACACCCGAAATACATAAAATGCTGTCTAAGACTCAAGTGCAGAAACAGTCCTTCCCAGAAGAGATCCACACAAATCCTTGAAGACAGGGGCCTTCCCCACACTTGTAGGACCAGAGAACAAGGAACACAAGGCTTAGTGTGAAGCCATGTGGCACCCAGTTTTTATTCATAGGTTTGTTGTTG